GTGTAGAAAGTTTGAACTCATTTTGGTCAAATTTAGATTTCATACAAATTTTTAAAGTTACTCAAAAATCAGGTCAAAATCCCTGTATTATAGTTAAGGGATTTTTGCCAAATTTCATTAAAAATGAAAAGTAGAAAAATAACTGTTTTAATAATCTTTCCTGTTACACATACATTGTGTACATGTTTTAATAATAAGTATAAAGTTTAAGCTCATTTCGATCAAATTTGAATTTTTTACAAATTTTTATATTTGCTCAAAAATTTGACCAATATCCCTGTACTATAAAGTACTGTATAGCAGGTTTTTTGAGGACAATAAATTTCACAAATTTTGCAAATTTTTTAGGACTTGCGAAATTAAACTCTTTGTAAATAAACTCAAGATTGCAGAATAGTATAAATTTGCAAAAATTAAAAATTAGTTTTTTAAATCAGGTCAATTGCGAGAATCATTATCCTCGGGAAGAAATTGCTATACGGATACATCAAAGATTTTAGCTGAATTTTACCAAAAATGAAAAGAGAGAATTCTCAATTTTAATATTTTCTTTATACATGTGTTTATGTGTAGAAACTTTGTATAGTAGAAGCTTTGAAAGAATTCCAATCAAAATTGTTTATGAATTTTGCTCCAAGTGCTTAGCTAATTGTCAGCTCATGAAATTCATGCTGTTTAGCTCACTTAGCATGCTTTGTGGGGAACCCTCTATGGAAGTATATACCCATGACAAACTAATCCTTTCTATAGCTACCAATAACCTACACAAATTCTAGGAAGACATGTACACATACAGTCATGCATGCACTTTTATAATAAATTAAAATGTTTTTTTTAATTTTCATATTTGTACTTGTAGTACAAATTTGTTTTCATGACTTCATGGACATACTACTAGATCTAGCATATAATAAATGAATTTGTTCACTTATGGACATCTAGTAGTGTACATGTACAATGAATAATGTCATTTTCTGTAGCAAGCTTCCCATGACACTATAAAAAGATTTAACTTGAAAACAAAAATCAAAGGCAATAGTCTAACAAAAAACAGCAAAATTAGTAATTTTATTATTATTACAGTATGAGACTGTATATTAAAAAATTTTTTTAATAATGAAGAATAGATTATAGTTATTGCTTCTAACTAATAATAAATAATAAATGAGTAAAAGTATGTGGCAGCAAAAATAATACTAAAGATTATGATTAAAACAAATCAACAACTGATTCACGACTATCACTGAGTCTAACATCAGTAGAACTTGGAACAATTTCTCTCATTTGTTGATCAACAGTTAGATGTGATTCAGTGACATCTAAAAGAGGTTCATCATCTTCATCTTGTTTCTTGAATAACTTCTTAATTAGAGCATCATAACATTTCATATGTGATAACCGCAGGTAAAGATGATAAACAACAATCAAAATAAAACTAAAAGTAAAAATAGATAAACAAGTA